TGCAGGTGTGGTCTGTGCGTGTGGATGTGGACACGCGTGCATGGCTTGCATGTGGGCACGTGTGTAGGTGTGTGTGCTGCTTGTGTGTCTGCATATTTTTGTGGGGGTGTGTGTGTGGTCTGTGTCTAAGAGTATGTGTAGATATCTCTATGTCTAGTCTGGGTGTGCGTATTTGTCTCTGTGGGTGTGCGTGCATGTGTGTGTTCCTATGTGTGTACTAAGAACAGGCCGACAGAAGCAGGTGGTCTCGGGCACAACACAGACGGGACGCCCAACAGTACCCCAGGGTGGCTGTATTCACGATCTCAGACCCTGGGGTGACGGTGTCTACACCGCGTGGCCCAGACCCAACAAATGCAATTATACCTCCTGCTGCGCACGGCAGGTTTCCCTGAGGCAGCGGGTGGGGATTCCACCAGCGCCGAAGACCCCACTGGGCATGTGCCTAAACACGCATGCGTATACACATCCGCGCTCATGTGTACTTACGTGGAAATCCGCGCCTGTCCACTCCCCCCACACGCACTTCACCTGAAATCACCGTGCCGAGAGAGCTTTGTCAGACATCCGCCTTCCCTCGCCCTGGAGAGGACTTCCAGCTCCAAGGGCACATGGCCTGACACAGACGGATTCCAAGAGCGGACGCTGTCGCGCTCGGGACGAAGGGGGACACTTAGAAAGGAGAAGCAGACTGGGCTCTTTGGGACGCTCAAAAACCAACAGCAACACGTGCGAACGTCAATACAGACTTTCCCGTGTGACGCTCCCAATTCCCCTGATTTCTGCCTCATGAGAGATGGTGATGGAGAGAATCCCCAAGGAAGCCAAACGAAAGGGAAGACTCCGTACTGACTCTTGTATGTGTATGTGTGGGCACTGCACATGGGCGTGTGTTAGGCATGTGTATGCACTGCATGTCAGCGTGTGTCTGTGTGCATGTGGGCGTGTGTGTGCATGTGAGCGTGTGTTAGGCGTGTGTATGCACTGCATGTCAGTGTGTGTGAGCACGTGGGCGTGTGTATGTGGGCATGTTAGGTGTGTGTATGCGTTGCATGTCAGTGTGTGTGTGCACGTGGGCGTGTGTATGTGGGCATGTGTATGCATTGCATGTGAGCCTGTATCTGTGTGCATGTGGGTGCATGTTAGGCGTGTGTATACATTACATGTCAGTGTGTGTGCATGTGTGCACATGTGGGCATGTGTTAGGTGTGTGTGTACATTGCATGTCAGCATGTGTCTGTGTGCACGGGGGTGCATGTTAGGTGTGTGTATGCACTGCATGTGAGCGTGTGTCTGTTTGCACGTGGGCGTGTGTCTGTGTGCACCAGAACCACTGACCGGGACCTCACTCTCCCTAAAACTGATTCCTCTCCTGCCCAGCCTTCCTTTCCACTGCTGTGAGGAGGTCACGGGTCCCCTACACGCCCCTTCCACTGACCCCCACATGGTCCCCACACAAACCCAGTAGGAGCAGACCAAGCAGGGATGGGGGCAGGCTCTCCAAACACCCTCCAGCCCCCCACACCCCCATGCTGCCTGTCTGCTGGGGATCTCGTCCAGGGCTCTCCGCTTCAGACCGCGGCCAACGTTCCCATCCAGTCACTAAAACCAAGCCCAGAGCCCACTGCTCCCAGGACCCCAAGATCACCCAAGGGCAGGTCTGAGAGTGGACGGGCACAGGAAGAATTCCCCCTTCCCAGCCTCCTCCCCAACCCCTCAGTGTGCCCCAAGAGAATGCACTCGGCCCCGGAGCGAGAGCTTGGCTTCCAGCCCGACCTCTGGGCTGGAACCCTGCAGGATTGCCATGGGCCGAGGACACCGCGCAAGACTCCCAAGCGTTCAGCTGAGACCATTTCACCCTGGATCCCGTGTCTCAGGGCTCTCCCTGACCTCTGCCCCCTGGGGACACTGTTTCCTGATCACAAAGCCACACCCTCACCAGAGACGACAGAATCCAGGGGACTACCCCCCCAAGGGGAGTGCTTCCCACACACAGCTGCACAGAAATTCTGGGGCATGGAAGGGCCAGCTCCCACATAACTCAGTCATGAACATGAATCTCTCCCCACCCAGCCCATTGTGCAGATACGTTCCAAGATTGTGCCGATGTTTGCAAAAGGGATGCACACACATCACCACCAGCTGAAATCCCCACAGGAACGTTCAGGAAATGCAATGATTCAACACCCAGCAGCACTGACCAGCAATAACCCCTCCCAAACTACTTCTAACCTAATCTAATCTATCCATCTACACAAGTGGTCTACCGGGTCCAAGCCAACACTGCTGACTCTGTCATCATCATGGGTGACCACGTCAGGGGGCTGCGTGTCCCAGGAGAAACTCTCCCATGCCGACCACTCCCCACACTGCCTCCCGGGGCCAACAGCACCAAACGGGGCTGCCACCACCTGGACCAGGAGCCTAGGCCCCGTGTCCAATGTTCAAGGCATGTAGCTCCTTGGTCCCCGCTGCAAGCGGACCACTGTGCATGGAAGCCTGTCCAGCCCTGTGGGCTCCAACACCCCTCAAAGCTGCAGATGTTCTGGGGAACTCAGGGGTGAGTCACACAGGGCGAGGCTGCCCCTGGCCGGATGGAGAGACACATGAGTCACCCAGATGGCACCACGCCTCCAGGAGCCCCTCCCGCCCTGTATCAGCCAGTCACGCGGGGACACGGGATGAGCCACGTGCAGTCCCTAAATGCCCCCCCCGTGGGTGTGTGGGCAGCTTCTCCTGAGTGCAGATGCAACCCCGCCTGGATCTCCATCCCACCTGGGTCTCCATCCCCCCAGGTCTCCATCCCCCGCCTGGATCTCCATCCTGCCTCAGTCTCCATCCTGCCTAGATCTCCATCCCACCTGTATCTCCATCCCCTCCTGTATCTCCATCCCCCCTGGGTCTCCATCCCCCCCAGATTTCCATCCCCCCCCGGGTCTCCATCCTGTCTGGGTCTCCATTCCCCCCTGGATTCCCCTCCCCCCTAGGTCTCCATCCCCCCTGGACCTCCATCCCCCTTGGGTCTCCATCTCCCCTGGGTCTCCATTCCGCCAACCCAGCCAGAATCGGGTTTCTCTGAAATTCTATCACAATGGTGGAGCATTGCAGAAATATAAAACAGGACGGAAATATGCATAATACTAAATGACAGAAATGACAAATGACAGGATTCATACAGGGAACTTATAAATTATAGGAAAACATAATAGAAATAAATTATAGATGTATATCCAGAATAAATTGTGTATATTTACATATATATAGAAG